AATTCTCTAATACAACTTCAATTCATGGACCAAAGCGAATACTGAAGGCAAATGGTAAATATTCTACAGTTGGATGGACATTTGTGTTTATAGGAGTGATAATCCTGACAGTTACCCTCGTAACAGGTGTGGTGGTAAAATACTATTCCTACCCTGTAGAGGATGGTATATCAATCACAACTCCACCATTGGGTTTCCCAGCAGTTACATTATGTCCACTTATACCATTTGATATTGATCAAATATTAGTTGATTTAGAAAATGAAGCTATAGTGACGCCAGATCACGTATATGATCTTATTCGTTATTTCTTCCTAAGAAGTGAACACTTTACACCAGATATTGAATGTATATCTGATGTTAATTGTGAGGTTGAGGCAGATGATAATATACTTCAAAGCTGGTTGGAACTTTCATCATGGCTGCATAGGAAATTGAATCCAACTTATAGATGGCAAGTTGAAAACATACCCTTAAATGAGACCATTGTGTCAAGCATGCTGCCTACCAAAACTGAAGAATTCATCCTTGAATGTACATACAATGAAAGACAATGTGATGAACAGATTGAAGTTACTAGAATACTAACTGCTTACGGAAAATGTTTCACATTGAATATTAAGAATCAAGCTGAACATATCAATGAAATTGGTCCTAATAAAGGAATAACATTAATATTATATACAGGAAAACATAATCCAATACAAGGGATAATAGGAGCTGAATTCTCCACAATGGGATTTACATCTACATACAGCCAACCTGATGATGGAGTACAAGTGGTAATCCACAATCCAGGGACAATGCCTCAACCTTTTAGAGAAGGTTTCCATGTCACACCTGGTAGGTTTTCTTCAATAAAGTTAACAAAAACAGAGCGTACACGACTACTACCACCATATGGTGAATGTACTGATGAAAACTATTTGTTTAACTCTGAATTTAAATATTCATATGAGATGTGTGTGGAGCAGTGTTTACAAGAGAGAATCATGCAAGAATGTGGCTGTGTATCACCGATGTACATAATACCAAGAAACCACAACTTTAATCAAACACAATATTGTGGAAACATATCCAGTGTATTGAGCGATAAAATGTTAATTAATGCAATGTTTTTTCGTAACTCAAATAATAAGTTAATAAAGGCTTTGAAAGGTGTTATTGATAATCTGAAATGCGAAAAAAAATTGTCAAAAATTGGCAAAGAGTTGTGTCAATGCAAGAGACCGTGTAAGGAAAACACAAACATACATCTCATCAATACAATCCCATGGCCAGAGAAGAGTGTTGTTAACACTGGGGGTCAAAGAGGATTTGTCAAATTTAAGAAAAAGCACAAGAATGTAAGTAAACTTATAAAACAATTAATCAAATACACAGGAAATCTTCATTCTCTGAATGATTCCATTGATGACATGATTAGAGATTTTCTCACTCATATTGATCATGTAAACATGTCAAAACCTGAATACAATAGAGATTCACTTGCTATCGATGTAGTTGAGACAAATTTCATGAAATTGAACATTCATTTTGAATCTCTGGATGTTAGAACTGTATATGAGGAAAGGACCTACACATATGCTGATGTAATGAAGGACATAGGTAATGTTTTTGGCTTCTACCTTGGGATGTCTGCAGTTTCTGTTGCAGAAGGGGTGTATATCATTGGTGTGATGATCAAACTGATCATAAGCAGAATACTTTGTTGATATATCACGAAGCAACAAGTTACATGTATATACCTACATCCATCTCATCAATACAATCCCATGGCCAGAGAAGAGTGTTGTTAACACTGGGGGTCAAAGAGGATTTGTCAAATTTAAGAAAAAGCACAAGAATGTAAGTAAACTCATGAAACAATTTTTTGGAGTATATTATTCTCTTTTCAATGATTCTATTAGTGACTATATTGATGATTTCCTCAGTGGCATTATAAACGTGCCAAAACTTGAATACACTAGAGATTCACTTGCAATCAATATAGTTGAGACAAATTTCATGAAAATAATCATTCATCTTGAATCTCTGGATGTGAGAACAGTATATGAGGAAAGAACATATACATATGCTGATGTAATGAAGGACATAGGTAATGTGTTTGGGTTCTACCTGGGGATGTCTGCAGTTTCTGTTGTAGAAGGGGTGTATATTATTGGTGTAATGATCAAACTGATCTACAGAATAGTTTGTCAACAGAATTGATGTTGTAGAAGGGGTGTATATCATTGGTGTAATGATCGAACTGATCATATACGGACTAGTTTGTTGACAAAATTGATGTCACATAACAAAAGGGTGATATGGAGTGTTATGCCTAATTTAAGGACATATGTAATGTTTTTGGTTTGTACTAATAATGCTTTTAGTTTATACAGTGTAGCGCATGTAGTATAGTTTTATTACTATGGTGTATAGAATTCATATTGTACATAGATTATTGTATTATGTGTTATTACTCCAAAAGTTATTTTAAAATCAAAATACTTCTTGCGATATAATTATTACATGTAATTATTCCTAGAAGTTACTTTTAATATCAAATTATTTCTTGTGATATATAATTATACAAATTGTTTTTCAATATTTTTCATATATTCAGAATTTTATTCATAATGAACAATGATTATTGTAATAATATACAAACATTGAATGATTTGGAGTTACATATCTATATTTATCCTATGCCAAGTAGAGTTTTAGGGAGATAAGCTGGTAAGATATATCCTGTATCCTGATTTTGAGGTTTCCATATCCAGAACCTCCATATCTCCCGCCATATCTCCCGCTTCGGTGCATATCTTCCCGCTTCGGTGCATATCTTCCCGCTTCCGGTAAGTAGTGAAAATGCAATAAAATGACTTTGCATATGAATGATTTGTTTATTTTTACACCTTGTACTATTGAAATGGCCATATGCCCCTGAAAACTCTACTTGGTATAGGATAAAGCAGTTATGTACGGTCGGTTTGGATATTGGGTTCATCCCTCGTGAGATAAACCCCATGTCCAAAACCTCCCAGTACATAACCCTTATTTATTATATCATTGGAATGTTTCTCACTTTCCCATTGGATAAGAATCAATCACATGATTAAAAATATAAGGGTGAATTGCCCTGTCTCCTGCAGTCTCCAGCTGCAGCCTCGTTTTCAACTGTATATACCACGATAGAAAGTCCTGGATGTTTAGAATATCAACAGTCAATAATGATTTTTGTTATCATGCCATAACAATATCACGCTTAACCATCGACAATGTACAGTGACAAAATATATTATGTCGTACAGTTTAGGTGTAAGGTGTCACTATTAACTGGTTTGAAGTGAACTATGATGTAGGTTTGATGTAGGTTTTCAAAAATTTATTTGAGGAATACATTGAGGAATTCATGTTTGATTTTGTGTATATTCGATTTGGAAGACATTTACCTTTCTAATTATGTTAAAAGATTTTCGAGCAGTGCTCGATTTTTCGTTGTTAAAGTGTGCGCCTGACCCGGCTACGTATAGCACAGAGTTTATACTGGCGGATTAGACTAGTTCATTTTTTATATGTGTGTGAAAGCTTTCTCTTATTTGCGTTTTTTCGTTTAGTACGGTTCTGTTATATTTGCCGAGGTCATATAACCGGGATAAAACAATGATTATCGTTGACTGCCCACACAAAACATACGTTGAGTGAACAGTGTTATTACAAACAACAGAGCGTAGTGTGATAATAAGCTGTACACTACCACTGCTGCATGTACATATTACTAATTTACTAGGGCTCCCAAAGAGTGGATAGGGAGGTTGTGTTTGTCACTTTTAAATTTTACATTTCAAAATTGTCATTTTACATGTCATAATTTGTTGGTTTCATTCGTTTAGCCAATCAAAACATTGTAAAACAACAAATTGTCTGTTACGTACAATCAATTTTGTTCAGTTTTGATTAGTTGTCAGAATAAAGTTACGTTCATCTGAATCCATGTATCAAAACAAAAATCCTATTTTCACTTCAAAATACTTCAGTGAGATGAAGGCTCGGAATTGTCACATGCAATAACTTATTGTCGTATTCGTTATTTTATCTTCTCGATAGTAGTATTTAGTCGCACATTTGATGCCAGGTCACCTTGTCGCTTACCTCTTGGGGAACCCCACATTTATGTGTGTACTCATGGAAGTAAATTCCCCGGTGTAGCCGAGAGCCACAAACTTTTCAACAGGTTCGAAATGACCAATTTCTCTCATATATACTCTAAATATTTTATTATTTAGCACCTACAAAGTATTGCTAATAACCATATGTAATTTCAATAAGGAAACCTATCTGGCTACATATAAATTCAATATCAACACTAGCTGTTGTCTCAACACGTCCTGGCTTACCTTGTGGTGACAAACCCTGGATTTTCGCTATTTATAGTTTATCAACACCTGGACGCATGCGCATTTTATAGTTTATCGGGCACTTTAATCTACCCATGTAATTGGTCGGTTGGAAAATTGTGTTTTTTTTATACATTTCCTTTGATCGTTTTCTCCCCTGTCGTCTAAGAGTGCCGAATATTTTTATGAATATTTATATTTACACAATTTAAGACGGTCGAAGGTTTAATAAATATTTATGTATTTGGTATAATTTAAAAAATCAAAAATATATGTTGTCATCTCCAATGTACGTTGTCCCATTAATTAAAATGCATGAGATATAATATTAAACAATGCAATGATTTAATTTCAAAACGCATTAAGGGTTTTATGAGTAACAAGTGATGTTCAACGAACATCTTCATGTATCCCTGGTACAGATTAACAGGTAAAAGTGATTTTTGACCCCTTGTTGAATGCTATTTTATTTTATGAAAGTTTTGATATGGTGATTAATATTTGACCATGGGGTGTTATCTTCCAACCTCTTTGAATGGGACTGAAAAAATTGAGACTTTTCAGATTAGAGAGGTATTTGATAAAAGTCAAATAAAAGTCTAGAAAAGGTAAAAATACCTTCATTACAATCTGGTCCTGTGTAGCCAGGAGGACACTGGCAAACACCTGGTAGCACACAAATCCCTCCATTATCACATTTCTTGCTACAGGTAGCTGCAAATAGGAAGATACAAGGCATTAACATGCAAAATGTCATCAAACCCCATTTGTTACAGACACCAAACGCCAAACACCACCCACAAAAAAGTTGGAGACCATAACAATATGTCACCACTTCTGGTGGTGACATAATAAGATAAAGGCATCATTACAATTTAGGAAAATGATGAAAAATGATCAATATTTTTAAGAGAACTTTCTAAGTGCAGTAATTCTGTGAATTTCTCTGCTGCCATCCATGAAAGGAAAGACTGTTTCAATTCAATTTATTTCAAAATTTCTTATATAATATACACTATAAAAACTTGCCGCAAGACACCCAATTGGTACCCTGCGCGCAGAGTCTAGTTATAAACTACACCTTGCCTAGTATATAGACTATATTTCAGTTTAGCAGCCCACCCCGATAATTGGTGCCTGTGACAGCACGGGTAATAAATAATTACAAATCTACCACGCTGATCCTTTCTCAACCAATCAATAAAGTAGAAGGAACACGCGCAAAATACGTGCTCATTAACTATGTGGGTATGTCAGAGGAAATGACCATATAGAAAGTAATTGTCCGTATTTCGACGATGAACTCTGATTGGCTTGGTGAGATCAGAGATTTATTGTAAAATGAAAGAGTGAAGACGAAACTCTCTTTTAAGAAGTGAAGTCGAAGGAATGCAAAGGGTACCCAATTGGCATATGTTGCGGTGTAACAGACATTAAATTCTAATGCCTTAATATTTTTTATGCTGTTTCACCATGTACAAACTACTCCTTCGATCAAGCATCATTTCAATGCAATATTTTGGTTGGTGATAGTTGTTGCACTGACCTATTTGAATTCAAAAGGGATGCTTTAATAGTTTACTTTAGCATTACAGGTATATGTGAGATGCAATTAAAGGTTAAGCCATCTAAAGATAGAATTTGATAATATTTCATGATGCATTACGACAGAGATTCCAGAAAATCTGAAGCCCTTGTAAATTTCACTTATATTTGGTTTTATATATTTTCTTCTATACTGGCAATGTTAACTCCAGAAGCCCTAAGGGGGGGGGGGTCAAAATGACCCCACATTTTTTTCTCTGAAAGGTTTTATAGGCATCAGGTCAGATCTGCAAATTCTCAGTAGCTGGAGCAGAATTGCACTTAGGGTAATTAATTTAATGTGATGTATAAAAAGAATCTTCTCCAAGAGAGCACTAATTCTATCATTAAGTGTTGTCTTTAGAATAAAATCACGCAATTTTAAATCACCATAGTTACACACCATATAATAGATAATTAAATGAAGTATATTTGAGGAAAGTTTGAACATCCTAGCTTTACTAATAACGATTTTACAAGTGAGGGCCCCTTTGACCCTCCCCCTTCGGTGTTCGTGTGACTTTTTTACCTTAGGGCTTCTAGGGTTAATGGGTTGGTGCAACAACTATATTGGCACTAATATTAGAAATGGCAGCCTACAGTTAGTCTCTTTATATTATACGAGAAAGAATGTGACGATCAGTTAAATCAGAAGTCATGGATGTTCATCATTACGAAATAGTGCATTTTTATTATACTGTGTACACAATAAAAGGAATCATAAAAAGATTTTTTGTTTTATCACTGATTATTGTTTACATAATGACATATTACAATTATATGACACAATAAAATGTTCATAAAATTGATGAAAAACCTTTGCAAGATCAGAATCGCCACTTACGTGTACAGTTAAACCCATTGCCATGGAAACCAGCATAACATGTGCATTTATAGCTGCCAGGTAAGTTAGTACATGTTGCATTGGCGTGGCACTTGCCAAGGAGACATTCATTCACATCTGAAACAAATAAAATATAAATATTATAAGAGGAGGGAAAACCCCATGATTCAATTGATGACATACGATTTGCTCCTTTGCGCACCTCCTTTCCCGCAAGTACATATATTAATACTTCCCTCCATCTTGGATTTCAAAATTTTCAAATTGACCTAGTTTTAAACCAATCAATGATTGACTCGCTAAAAAAATCAGCGACGATGTCATCTCAATACAGATTTACATTATAAGCGTATGTCATCTTTGAACCCTGGGGTTTCTCCCCCTCTTAATATTATCAAGTGCTATATATCTCGAAGTAAAAGGGATGATAAAAAAAATGTAAAAGCAAAGTGGAATTTTCACATATTTTCACAATTTTAATACATTTTTGCACTTATCACTCAATGCCACCTATTTTCTAAAGTATCCAGCAATTCCGACTTCTTTTCAACTTATTTCTGAATAATCCATCGAATTTAAGGTTATCTGTAAAAAATGGAAAAAGTTGACATCCATTGAATTTTAATGAACTTGTTTGCATTCTATTCGATCAAACATCTTAAATCATTTTTCAGAAAATGTAGCAGGGGCGTTCCCAGCTTTCAGTCAGGGGAGTGTGATCCCCAAAAAATCTTCGGTTTTCAGTTGGGGGGATTACTTCCAACATTTTACACTTTCTGTTCCTTCTACATGCATTTTCATTCACAACATAAACTAATGTGGCTAATGGATTCCAGGTCTGTCATTTAGAAATGAGCACATTTAGTATAATTTGCTGTCATACTTGTGCGTTGCAAATGGATTGCCTTTTACCGAGATGAGTTTGTGATTTGATCACAAATTTTCAATTTGTTTGTGGATTCCGCTTATTCATTTCTTGGAAGAGGGTGGAGGTCAAATGAAAAAAATTATATCAGTTATCTTTTTGCCAGACTTTTACTGACCAAATTTCTGATATATTTCTTCAATCTCAAGATTATGTATTTCTACATCTTAGAGTGTAGGAAATCTCTAGACTATATCCCTGGACTCATAATCTTACCCTTACACTCATAATATTACCATTACACACACAATCTGAAACTTTACACTCATAAAATTACCTTTACACTCATAATATTACCTTTACACACATTTTAGACTCATAATCTTACCCTTACAAACATAATATTACATTTACACTCATAATATTACCTTTACACACATTTTACACTAATAATCTTACCCTTACAAACATAATATAACATTGACACTCATAATATTACCTTTACACTCATGACTGCTGTTGAAGTAACCGCTGAGACAAAGACAGTTCTTGTTAATACACTCACTGTTTTCTGGGCAATGGTCACAAGGGTCAAAACCCTCTATAAACAAAAGCAAAACAAAATAGTACAGTAAAAAGGACTGGTAAAATATCCTTTTTTGATATCAAATAATTGTTTATACAAAAAGCAACAAACCTTATTACCATGCATACTTATGCTATGATATCTGCTTATGATGGAGCTTATGCTATGACATCAGATTATGATGGAGCTTATGCTATGACATCAGATTATGATGGAGCTTATGCTATGACATCAGATTATGATGGAGCTTATGCTATGACATCAGATTATGATGGAGCTTATGCTATGACATCAGATTATGATGGAGCTTATGCTATGACATCAGATTATGATGGAGCTTATGCTATGACATCAGATTATCATGGAGCTTATGCTATGACATCAGATTGTCATGGAGCTTATGCTATGGCATCAGATTATCATGGAGCTTATGCTATGACATCAGATTATCGTGGAGCTTACGCTATGACATCAGATTTACCTTACGGTAAAAACTACATGTTGCCAGTTACAAAGTCAAAGTCGAGGTTAATACTTTGGGACAGTTGGAACTGAGAAATGAGGGCTGAAACTTCATGCACTTGGAGATGGTCTTTTTAAAAAAAAATCAACACTGCTCTAAAGTTGATTATGTTGATCCTAAACAGAATTATAAATTCAAATTTCACCTCTTTTGACGAACTCCCGTGCAGTGATATATCACTGCAGAGGGCAGGTATCTCACTGTAAGCATGGTAACATCGTAATAAACAACTGACGTGATTGGTTCTAGTCCCATGCTCAGGTCGCGTGATTGTAAAATTTAGACAATTTCATTGGTTGAATTGCGCGTATTAACTAATAAACAACACGTGCGGTAAACTTTTATCAACACAACTTTTACTCAGAATTCCTTCCGCTGGGATTTCCTCTTATATTTCATTGATTTTGAAATATTTTGACAAAATAATTATTGGTGAACATAAAAGAACATATATTTTATAAGTAGTATGAAAAACAAGTACATCTGTGACAAAAAGGGGGACTATCTTCCCCAAATTTTGGGGATTCCATAATCTGCCCGCCGCAGTGTCTATACCGAGACACTGCATAGGAGTTCGATCTTTTGATTAAAATATGCCAATATTTTAGACTGGGAGGAAACAGATTTTCAAAGGGGCTAGAGGAAGGTTGATTAAATGGGGATCTTAAGGTGGCATACGCGGAGTGATCAATAAGTAATGGATTTCACCTCTTTTGATTAAAATATGCCAATACTTAAACCTTTCGGCATGTTAGATGGGGTGCAAACAGATTTTCGAAAGGAGGGGATTGTTCATTGAATGGGGTTGTTGTTTGTTTATCAAGGGGTGATCAATAAGTAATGGATTATTTTTTACACAGATGCTTGTATATCTTTTAATTTGTAGCACCCGAATGAGCCATTATGAAGCACATTACATTTGTGTTCGAGTGTGCCATCTTTTAATACAAAAACAATTTCAAAAGACAATAGAGAGATTTCGCACATAAGTGAAAGTACAACTTATACGTATACGTATAGTTTAAAGGGTCATGTCGAACTATTATATTTACTAAAATCAATTTTAAATTGTACTTAATGGAACATAACTATTCCCGTTATAGAAAAGCTCCATCAACTAGAGACTGTGAATGCAGTGTCATCTGCACGTGTAGATTATGCACATTATAATTAAATGCTTGCTTCCGTGTCCTTTTAGTTGTAGTGTATTATAAACACGATCCATTAAAGTGAGTCATGATTCTTTAAAGTGAGTCATTACATAAACAAGTTGATTATTTCAATGTTTTCATGATCAGTATAAGTTCAATGAACTTACAAAACGGTATATTTACGTAGATGATAACGTATACAGTTGGATCTCCGTAGACGATACTAATATTTTATATTCTGGAAAAAATGATTTAGATGTATTCAACAAAATGAATGAAGAACTGACGAAATTAGCAATCTGGTTCAATGTAAATAAATTGTCATTAAATATTGAAAAGACAAAATATATGACTTTTACACAAAGAGTAAAACTTAACCAAGGTCTTTCCCTAAAAATTGCTAAAAAACAAATCGAATGTGTTGACAAAATTAGTTTCTTGGGAGTTATCATTGATGAGAAACTCAGTTGGAAAGACCACATCAAGTACTTACAGATGAAAATATCAAGAACATTAGGAATCTTATACAAAGTTAAAGACAAACTATCTCAAAATAGCTTAATTTCTATTTATAACTCACTAATATATTCAAACCTATCATATTGCAACTTGATTTGGGGCAATGCCACCAAAACATCCCTTGACCCATTATTTAAATTACAAAAACGCTTTCTGAGAATTTTGACAACCACACCTCTTAAAGAACACATTTCACACAATTTTAACAAATTTTTGATTCTCAAACTATGTGATATTCATAAACTCTCAGTTGTATCTTTTGTACAAAAATGCATACATGAGGTTAACACAGTTATGATTTCCCACTTTAGTAATTATTTTATGAAAAATCAAGAGTGCCATAATTACCATACAAGAAGAAAGGAAAATATCCATCGAATAAAATCACGCAATACTTTAACAGAAAACTCAATAAAAGTCGAAGGAGCAAAATTTTGGAATGTGTTACCCACTGAATTAAAACAAATACAAAACAATAAGAAATTTAAAACACAGTTAAAGTTATACCTAATTCAGAATTATCAATCTTAATACGTATAACCTATTATCCAATGATGTTATATAAAGTGTTTAAAAAAGCGATTGAGAAGGAACTTTTATTTTAACCACTCAAAATGTTGTTCAACACGTTGGTTAGTGGTGCACGGTGACATCCTAGGGGGTACATGGGCCAACTAGGGGTTAAACTGCATCATTGACTAACATGGATGATTGTTATAGAGATTAGACACATTGAACCCATAATTGCAAAGTCTCCCTTCAAATGACTCCCTTTTCCTTTTTCTTTTGTACCTTTTCTATTTCCAATAAACATTTATTAAAACTATTGTGTAATTTAATACACTTATTTTAAGTGTCATTGCATTTTTATTATTTTTCCATCAAAACTGTATGTTATTGTAAAAATTGACTAAACTGAAATATATATATTATTATTATTATTAGGAGGCCCCATCGGGGGGCCTCCTATTAATTTTATAGATATTATTATTAGGAGGCCCTCCTGAAAGGGCCTCCTATAGCTTTTGTAGCTTTTCTTTATTCTTCTTCTTCTTATTCTTATTATTATTCTTTCAAAGCAGTTTTCTCCTACTTTCAACTAGCTTTCAACTTTCTACTATATGCTCCTACTAGATACCTGGTTTCATCTTGATGGGAAAATATTTCATATCTAGGTCAAGGTCAAAGGTCAAAATCTAGGTCAAATCTAAGCTTTTTTTCAAGTTTCTCAAGTTTGTCATTATACTTCATTATTTCTTGCGATGAATTAAACTGAAACTACATTTAAGTATTCTCTACAAATTGTTCACTATATGTCAGCATTAAATTTTTACCGTTTTTGAGATATTTGACGTCAAAAAACGGTCAAAAGAGGTCATTTTTCAACTTGCTTCAATCTGACCAAATTTTTTTTTAAAAATCATCTACAAGTTCCCAGGAGTCCAAATCTGACTTCAGATCTGACCTTTGACCTTTAGTTGACCTTCAGTGACCTTCGAAAGGTCAGAAAAGTTGATTTTTCAAATTGAGTCTTTGGATTCAAATTTAGGTCAGTCTAATTACAAAAAGCCTACTGAGGTCTAAAAAAGTAAAAATTTCAAGGTCAAAGGTCAAGGTCATCAAATTAGGTCACAAACTGTGCTATCTAAGTTTCTCATAGTTCAAGACTACAAATCAATATTTTTAATTGAAAGTCAAGATATACATTTCTCTAAGGATTCTACACATATTAGTCATTGACTATTTATTTAAATTTTGTCCCAGTTTTGAGATATAAGAGCTCAAAAACTGAAAAAGGTCAATTTTTCAAAGTTTATAAGGTCAAATTTTAACTTGCTTCAAATTCACCAAATTTTTTTTTAAAAATCATCTACAACTTCTCAGGAGTTCATATTTAACCTTGGATTTGACATTTGACCTTTAGTTGACCTTCAGTGACCTTCGAAAGATCAGAAAAGTTGATTTTTCAAATTGAGTGTTTGGATTCATATTTCAGTATTTAGGGTTAGCCTAATCATAAAAGACCTACTGAGCTCTAAAACAGTAAAATTTTCAAGGTCAAGGGTCACGGTTATCAAATTAGGTCAAAGGTCAAAATCTAGGTCAAATCTAATATTTTTTTCAAGTTTCTCAACTTTGTCCTTATACTTCATTATTTCTTGGGATGAATTAAACTGAAACTACATTTTAGTATTCTCTACAAATTGTTTACTATATGTCAGCATTAAATTTTTACCGTTTTTGAGATATTTGACGTAAAAAAAACGGTCAAAAAGGTCATTTTTCATCTTGCTTCAATCTGACCAAATTTTTTTTTATAACTCATCTACAAGTTCCCAGGAGTCCAAATCTGACCTCAGATTTGACCTTTGAACTTTAATTGACCTTCAATGACCTTCGAAAGGTAAGAAAAGTTGATTTTTCAAATTGAGTCTTTGGATTCAAATTTAGGTCAGCTTAATTACAAAAGTCCTACTGAGGTCTAAAAAAGTAAAACTTTTCAAAGTCAAAGGTCTAGATCATGAAATTAGGTCACAAACTGTGCTATCTAAGTTTCGCAAAGTTCGACTACAAACCAATATTTTTAATCCGGAGTAGAAATATACACATTCCTCTAAGGGTTGTACACATATTAGCAATTGACTATCTAATAGAATTTTGTCCCAGTTTGAGATATAAGAGTTCAAAAGTTGAAAAAAGGTCAATTTCGAAATTTTTCAAGGTCAAATTTAAACTCGCTTCAAATTGACAAAATCTATTTTTTGAAAATCATCTACAAGTTCTCAGGAGTTCACATCTGACCTCAGATTTGATATTTGTCC